GAAACGACACCGTTCCCGTTGGGAGAATACCCCATATTCAACGGTACGACGAGTGGAACGCCCTGAATCTCATCAACGATAGGCCCCCGGTCAACCTCAATCTCCTCCCACTGAGCAGAGAGGCGCGCAGCTGGGACGTCAAAATAGCGGTCCTCGAAAGGCAGTTCGCTTTGCGCGAATCGTCCTGGTGGTTCCGTAGAGATTCTGACCATTCCGGTATCTTCGGGAAGCGCGCTGCCAATGAGCTCCTTGAGCTCCAAAGGAAGTCGATGTTTGGCCCCCGAGGCGCAAGCTCCGGCAAAGTGGATATTCCTTTTCATAAACCCAAACTCGCCACTCGGCTTTGTCTCGTAGCCCAAAGACTCCAAAACCACCGAGAAGTCAACGCTGCTTAGCGGGTTGACGGAAAAGCCGTGAACTTCCCCGCTTTTGCGCTTGACATCCTCAAACCCACTAAGCATGTCATCTACACCCAGAAGAACCTCCCTCCTTCGCCTGCTTTGGAACTGACCGAAAAGCATATCGGCCAACCACTTGCCATGATTATTCTCGAGAAAGATCACGAGGACAATATCCGCAAGACCTTGATCAACGAGATATTGGGGAAGGGCGATTGTGGTCAGCCAGTTCTTCCTAACTGCGGCGTTGTCGGACACAATGAACTTGATCGCCTTGCCCTTACAGCTTAGCAGGTGGTGCAGTAATATCTCCTCAATGATGGTAGAAGCGCTCTTGCTGCCGCTCCCCTGCTCGTGGGAGAATACAACGGCGTCGTTCGTGACTGCACTAACGTGCGCATTAGCATCGTACCGCCAACGTGTTATGTCGGATGACGCAGAGACCACAAAATGAGGGAAGTCAACCTTACTCATATCGTCTTGGTGACTTACTATAGCTCTGTCACAGTACGAGTTCCACCCAGTAGCCCCATCGAAGAGCTGACTTTGCAACTCGTCGTTCACCCTGACGCGACAGTACTTGTTTTCAACTTGCCGGAAGTGATCCGTCATCTTTTTGATGATCTCACGAATGCGGCTGTCGCGGGCATTGTGAAGCCGCATGTCCCTAACGCACTCTTCCTCTTGAAATCGTTTTGATCTAACAGCATCATGTAGTGCGTCGAGGCGGTTTTGATTCGGCTCCAGGAGAGGCCTCGGCATCTGCGATATGTTTTCCAACTCGGCTTGCATGAATCTCCCCTCGTGATGAAACTGTAATATCGCATATTGCATGGTCTTGCAATTGGGACATGCATTGTGGTCAGACTGCGTAAAACAAAGTGTGTAGTTGCGCCTCTTCAAGTAATTTGTGATCATTCGTTGCAGTGTACTAGCAGACAACTCCACGTCTACCGAATCATCCTCGTCAAGGGCCTTTGTTAGGATCTTTCTCAGTTTCTCTTGGGTGTTTATCTCGGGTGAGTAAACCGGGCAGGCGCTGGCTCTTGTAGAACCTGCCGGATCGGCTCTGAGCACCATGTCGAGGTGGGTTTCAACCTTGTCCCGGACATCGTCCCTATACCGATTCATCGGATGCCCTCGTTCGTAACTATAGCGCAATGTGCCGTCCGTTAGCAGGGGACGTTCCTGCAAAGACGAATCATTGCACATGGTGTCTAAGGCGCGTCTGACGTCCGCAATCAGCGATTCAGACACCGTGCAGAGCGCAGACAATGCTTTGTTGCAAACTCGGGTGGTACTGTTCGACAAGGGGCAGAATAACCTGTTGAGAAGAAACCGGTTTTCTCTATGTCGTGGCTTCAGTTTCATGGCCAACTTGATAAACGCATTGTACTCACTCAGGAGGGTCCATTGTGGGACGTCGACAAAGCAGGGCGTGTTGCAACCACATTCATATGCTTGTAAGCTGTGAATCGGAGGGTAGTTACCCCTGTCGCCAGTTCGCCGCTGTTATCGGAGGCGCGAACCCGCCGTGTCAACAATACTTGTGAGCTCCTCTTCCAAATAACTGTCCGGGCTCAGCGTAGTCTTTCGGTTGTACAAAAAGTTCCGTGAGACGCTGAGAAGGCAGCAAATTGCTTGTGTACACAGTTTCCTTTTTGGACGAATCGTACCCCGAGGCGAATCGGTCTGCCCATACAAGAAGGGCAGGACCTCAACGACAAACTTCGCGAACTTTCGTAGCGCTTTCTCCCTCTCGGATCTGCGATGTTCGTCGCTGTCAGACTCTCGCTCTTCTCTCAAGGGCGTGGAAAAGGCAACTGTAGAGGTCCCAATTCCCTTTCTTCTCTCGTGAATATACGAAGCAGCTTTTTCTACAGCCTTGTGACACCGCTCGGCATGATCTTGGATCATTATTATCTCATCGAAGACCATGAACTGCAGGGGATCCGTAGCAATCGTTGCGAAACATAGATGCTTGCAACAGTGCCAGGTAGAACTCGGGAACCGGTATTTGTGGATCCGGTAAGCCATTTGAACTCGCCGCTCTGTGTCCATGAAGCTATCAAGTTTTTCGTGAGACGCCGGCGTTATTGCATCACCATCGGTTGGCGCAATTGCAAGATCCACAGTCTGACGTAGTGGCCCAGATTCTGCCATGAGAAGCATAAATGCATTGATTCTGGTTGTCAACTCGGACCGATGCTTCAAACGGTCCTCGCAGCCAAAAAAGTAGTCTTCTATAATAGCAGGGTCGGTACGGTTGAATAAATCTTCAAATCTTTCCTCGGCGCTGATCGAGACGGTTTGTGACAGAATCGCTTCGGGTGTCAACACATTACTGCCAGCATGGGGGGAAGTGCCTTGAACAGGAGTGATAGCGCTGCTAGAAACCAGGGTGCTATCATTGCCGACTGGCATGTTGCCTTATCTGACGGAGGTGGTAGCACAATGCGCGCATACCCCCGCGGAAACGGCCCGAGTGAAAAGCGCAACGACAGGAGTGAAATGGAATGACTTTTGAGTCGTGTCTGCTGGTCGTTCCGCAGCAGGCGCAACACGGGCACAGGATGAAGGAAACGGTCGAAGGGCCAAAGGGAAACGCCCGCGAGGAAAGGTCAAGGGATTGTCGTGCGAGCAGTGAAGGGTCCACACTTCTTATGGTTACGACAGCCCTGTCCGGTGGTCGCGCTTCTTAGCGGCCACTACAACCAGTGGTGCGAGCTGTGTGTAGCGGTTCCGTGGCACGAGCAAGACAGAACCCGGGCTTTGTTCGCGCGATGAGATGATGCGCCAGTGGGTCGAATCGAGATCGCACCATGCACCGAGGAAGCCTTCCGATTCTGTGTACAGACATTGTACACCGACATGAAATTTGTGAACGAACATTCGCATTTTCGAGAATTTAAGTTTCAGTGTTATTTTCTGGATGCACCCATTGGGTGCATCCAGAAAATAACACTGTATCACTCGACTACTTTTTTGACCAATCAGCGACCGATAAAGTGGTCGCCGGCTGACTACTTTTGAACATCTGATCAAGCCCTCTCGACCCCTCTCCACTCCACCACTCCCGCACCACTTCCCATTCCATCCTTGCGCACTGGAGTTCCACATTCCAAGACCCCTCTCTCGAGCTGTCGGTGATGCCCGCTTCGCCAATGCCCTTTCAGAACAGCCGCAAGCACACTCTGGCAGCTCTAGCAGTATCGCTAGCAGCTCTGACGACATGTCTTGTCGCCCGGAGGAGGACAACAATGCGCCGCAAGCGCCGTCATCGCAACAAGAACCCAAAGTACCTCCGCCCAGCCATTATTCGCCCTCGCACACAGCGGTCCACTCCTTGGCGCGTGCTTCTCTCGTTCGGGAAAGACTCCGACTTCCTTGTATCCGTAAATATCACGAAGGCCTTACTGCTAAACAGTATACTTCCATTTTTTATACAGGAACAATTGAAATATAACTTCGGTAGCCCTTATCGAAGGGGACCGAAAACAAGAGGACGCAGTACGCAACTGGAAAGTATTGATTTGTTCGGGTTGGCTTGAGAGGGAGGATCGGATCCGTCCAAAAGGGATGCCATGTTGAGATGACAGTGTCAGAATGCGGGCGCCAGGTTTGAGGAGGAAGGTGTGGCTCGCTTTGGGATTAGGGGATGGGGAGGTTGTCGGCGAGTGGGGGTGCGAGTGGGTGTACAGTTCGCAACATGTTCCAACTGGGGTGGAACCGCCACGGAAGGGCAGTGATGGAGTGCAAGAGTGGTGGGGACAATCAATTTTTGAAACTATCATACAATGGTAAAGTGTTAGAGCATGGCCACTGGGGGTCCAATTTCTCGTTCCATTTCATTTTTTTCGATTAGACCCAGATTTCGTCTCGCACCCGTCACATCCAATCCAATTCAAAATGAAACAAATTGGATTTTGGAATAGAACGAGGGAAATCTCAGTCCAAAACAGAAATTTTTGGACCTGAAATTTCCAGGTTCCAATCCATTTGCCATTGAACAGCAAGGACACCCATCGCTCCACAAAGCGCAACATCACCCGTCTTGCGCCCATAATTCATCCACACTTCTCCTCTTGGCGCCATTTTTCGCCACACTCGAGGGTCAAGCTTGCCAAGCACCATGTTCTCCCGCAAATATTGGGCTCTGCCTCGCGGCAGGAAACTTAAAATCGAAACCGCGACATAGCACCGGTTCACAAATGGCGCGCAATTGCGCGCTTTACAGCGCTAGCTCCAATGATACTAAAAAGATCGAAGCCGTGTAAAAGAGATCCAGCACATCTTGGCATGTATGTGACTAAACCCCTCCAACAAATTTGCGTAAACAGGTGCTCTCAATTCGCGAACAGCATTCATCTGGCCACTAGCCATTTTAGAGTGAAGCGCGGGTGGGAATATTGCTCATTCCCCTCCAATCCAATTTGAGCTGGAATTGGACCCGAATCAATCAACAATTTTGAGCCACTAAATCGTTTACACGTTTAGTAGTTTTTGAATTGGACCCAGGCATGAGTGGCCATGCTCTTACGGTGTGCACGGAAAGGAAGTGAAGGGCTGCTACATTAACCTCAGAGGCGTATCGCTAAAATATCACTGCGCCCATTGGATGTACCCACTCAACGGAATCCCGATGTTCCTGAAATATTTGAAGGCATCATCGTAGAGCCTAGCATGAACGATGGAGACCACCACGCGTGGGTAGGAATTCTGGTACTTGTACCATCCATACCCGCTGGAAATGCTGTAATCGTTTGAGAATTCCGTTCCGCTCGTGTACAGCTGCGGGGAGATGTAGTCGATGTTGCGTGAAGATAAGAACGAGTCCATCAGGGTGCCAGCATCCCCGATTCCGTACGGTGCGGAGTGGCTCACAGTCACGACAACTGAAAACCCATACGATTTTGCCAGAGCAAACGATCTGGCAAAATCACCACGAAGACCACTGTCCCCCGCCTCAACGTCGTACACAATTCCGGAATAGCCGGATAGAAGTCCACCGGAGATTGCCGCATTAATGCTAGTAATGCCGGCTCGTGTGAATCTTCCTGGTTCGGTTCCCCCTCCGAACGCGATGTACTTATCCCCTTTCAGCGTGGGATACACCTTCTTGCTCCTATCCAACGCTGTCCGGGCATTTGTCCATCCGCTAAAAGCGACAGACATGGTCGCGCTATAAAGGCCAGGTGTGGGTGGGTATGGCCATGTCCAAGCGTAGTAACCAACAAGAGATGCTGGGTAAACTTGGCGAACTCCATTGCTTGCCATTTCGGCTTGGCGCATAGTAACTGGGGCGTCTCCATCGACTTGACGTACTTCTTTCGTCAAGTTTCCTTCGAAGCCGGCGGCGAGTCCAGTGAGAAGAATGATACAGAACAACCCAACCGTCCTCATGGTGAAGTTTTTCTAAATGTGTTGATGCCTTGCTTCTTGTTTACTGTGGAAAAAATGACTCAAAGGTCGCTTGAGGGATTGCAGTGCGGGCGTGTGAGAGATGGTAGGAGAATGATCCGGTTACCCCTTCTATGTTGAGCTTCATCCTTTATATACAGTACCCGACGACTTCACGAAGCTGTGCACGCTATCACCGTACAAGATACGCGAGTGATTTAATTGAGCTGCTGCAACAGTCTCGATGTTGCAAAGTTAGGACTTTCCCATTTTGGATGCAAGTTTGCCACGGGCAGCAAGCACGACCAAGGGCGCTACGACTTTACGTCGTAGAAACCGGCACGTCGCGTGTGCGCGTTTGGTCTTAGTTTTAATGCGCAGATCTATAGCCGCACCATGCCATACTGTACTACTGTACTGTACTACTGTACGTTCAGGAAGCAAACAGGATATATCCGATTGGATATATGCTGTTTGCTTCCTGAACAACTGATGGTCTCGAATTTCCCATATTGATATATCCCCGGCCAGATTCTCTACGCGTGGTATGATTGGGAAGCGCAATTTTTGACAAACAGTCGCAAGAATTGGCTTCCTCATTTGATTTGAGATATCCACTTCGCAGTGTGGACAAACCCGAGACACACGAATACGTCTGTGAAGCGAATTTCCCCCTGATTGTGAGTACAATCGTTCGCACTCCAGTATCGCGAGGGCTTTTAGTGCAGCTCTTGATGCCTGCGACATTGTTGTATGGCGGATGTCTAGATCCGCCATACAGGGATTCAATTGAACTGCTGCAGCAGTCTCGATGTTGCAAAGTTAGGACCTTCTCCTCTTGGAAGCAGATTTAAAATAACTTCGAAACCAAAAACACCAGTTCAAAAAGGCAACTTGGTACTCAATTTGCATTACATTCTTAATCGTTCTGCATATTCAAAGCTGCTATCCTGGTGTTCTGCAAGATGTTATTGCCAAAAACAAGCAGGTTGAGGAAATAGTGCTCAAGGTAGCTTTTCGAATGTTCAATTTAATTTATATATTTTTGCAAAAATAGAGCTGTCCTCATATGAGGACACGGCCGTCCTCATATGAGGACAAGCCCCGGTCGAGTAGATCTACCCGACCGGGGCTTGTGCACTAGTGTCTAGCCAACAACTTTCCTCAATTGAGGCCATTTCACCTCATATAAGTGACCGCATATGAGGTCAGGACGGGAAGCAGTATTTTTTGACAACCATGAAACAAGTTTCAAAACAGGCTTCCTCATTTGATCCGGGTGAGGTACCCGCTTCGCCCGATATTTGTCCAACAGTGCCGACAAACTCCAGAAACACAAATACAGTATATCTTTATGTACATATGTCATCAAGAAAGAGCATAGAAGTAGAAGGGCTTCCTCTAGTAGGGGTGATTCATGATGTTTGTGTTTGTCAAGAAGGGAGTGAAGGTTTCGCGGCATATGCGCATGAATGTAGTCGTGCTGTCCGGGCCCCACAGCGACCCCACAGCTCGTTATGTTGTCATGCTGAGAGGACGATGGAAGCACTTCTGCGGATTGATGCTTAAATGTGTGAACTACGTGGAATGGTTGGTGGTTTTGAGAGCAGCTTCTGCATGGAAGGATGTCTCATTTGTCGCCGGGAACACGGTTCCTGCAAGGTTTCAGGTTTTGGCA